TAATATATCGGTCCATGTTTACCTTTATATAACCTCAATACCGAAAATTATCAATATTAGTCCATGTTTCAGGTCAGACCTCATACAACTGTAACTCCTTAATTGGGCAACAAACTGCCTGTAATTTTATATTTTGGAGTTCTTCCGGCCATGGAAATATTTCTACCAGTAATTATCAATATTGGTCAAAGATTCAGGGTATTCTCCATATAACGGAACCTCTTATTATTCGCTATTTTGGGTACGTTTTTCAACCAATTTGGCTGTAATGCATTGCGTAATTACAGAAGGTAGTCTTATTTGAGAATTATATGATTTTTATTTTGGAACTCATCAAGGTTTATTCATAAGGTCAACAGGGAGGGGAATTCAAAGTCTTCATTGACTGTCAAATTTATTGTTTGAAGAATAAATAAACAATAAATATTTTTATTGGAACAAAAATATATGTACACATTTTAGAATTTTACAAAAACAGGCTGTATGTCATGAATTCGCCTGCCTGTTAACCTTATGAATAAAAATTGGAACTCATCCATAATTTTTAAATAATATAAAAAATTAATACCATACATTTTTAGTATATCGATTGACATATTTTCAATAAATTAAACAAAATACATTTTCTAAAACTGAACATTGCTCTCAAGATTTAATCATGATTGTTGTAACTTATATTTATAACTTTTAGAGGCAGGGAACTTCAAAATATTTATAAATATAAATGATACATTTCGGAGGAAGATATTTCCATTTAAATTTTGAAAGCTGAATACAGTCAAAGGCAAATTTATGAAAAATTGGAAACATATTACTACATGAGACTACCTTGTATAATTATGCCATGGCTTTAATGTAATTTCTCAGGTTTTAATTTACGTTTTGGTTCCCTATAAGGCTACCGACCCATTTTTGTTATTTTTATGGTTTTAACCGCATTTTCCTACCGCCCCATTTTCGGTGTTGTTAAGTTCTTTACCGATTTTCCCCGGTAATTTAAAATATAGTCCTCATTCAAATATCCCATTTAATGTTGGATTTGTTGAAGTTCCTCCCGCCGTTTTCCAACCTGAGAGTCTGTAATTTGGAATTTGATAAAAATTAATTTTTGTTATTGCAAATTTGTTGGGATTTTATTATTTATTATTATTTATCATTAATTTCAATTTGTTCATTTATAGTTATTATTTTTTAATTTTATAAACTATTACTTTTTAATTTAAAATAAATAAAATTAAATCGAAACAGATATATACAGTGTAGTCTGTTTCAAAATGTTCTTTATTAATTATTGTAATCGCTTTTAATTTATACTTTAATTCATTTGAATAATTTATTTAATTAATCATTTTTATTTTATTCTTAATGAACCGTTTTACAAATTATATTTATATTTACATTATTTTTTATATTTATTTTTTTTTCTTTTATTAATTTTTTTCTTATTTATTTTATATTTTTTCCCTTGCGATGAATAATATGTTTTTAAATATAATATTAAATTTATTTGTTATTATTAATTTCAAATCTTTAATTTATTACATTGAAATAAAAATAAGTGTATTAATCGTATTTTTTAATATATTATTAATTTTGTTTGTTATTATTAATTTCAAATTTGTACTTTATTATATTTTTAACTGTTATTATTTTATTAATTAAAATAAAAAAAAAACATTTTATTCTTGTTTTAATTGTTATTTGCATTTTTTTATTTGTTATAATTTTTATTTCACTTGTTTTGCATACCCCTAACACTGTGCCACTGTATAGTTTATCCAGCAACAGATGAGAAAAAAACCCTCGCCTTTTTGTTGTTGTCTTGTCGTTGTTTCAAATGACTGAATTTTATTTATGCTCTCCGATATACATTTCTCAATTACATCTCAACAACAAGTGAGAAAATAGATATTTCGTATTTAATTTTCATGTAGCAGAGATGGGAGATGGATCACAACAACATTTGACAAGAAGAAGAAGAGATCCAACCAAACACACACGCAGACACACAATATGAGCCAACCCAGCCACCGCATAAGTAGTTGTTGTAGTAGTCGTTGGTATCGTATGTAAATATAAATTCTGGTTGTTGTTTATTTTTTGTTGTTGTTATTTCTTTAAAGCGACAACAACAACGACTACGATGATGTTGAATTCGTCACTCTATTTTCGCAATCTTTGTGTTTTACACCCAAAAACAGTGTTCTTTTTGTTGTTTGATAAAAACACACAGATATACATTTTTGACACAGATTCTTTTAAGGGGGGTTTTAAAAGGGGAAACAATAATATCAAATTCCTATATCTCTGGACTTTGATGTTTAATTTAACTATTTTTTGTATTTTTGTTATAAATAGTTTATTGATTTCTTGTTAAATGTTGATTTTTTTCTGCCAGTTTTTCTTGATTGCCTCATTGTCAATTGTCTATTGAATTTATTTACATACAATTGTTGTTTTATTTATTTATGTATTTGTGTTTGTTTGTGTTTTTTTTTCTTTCATACTTTTTAGCCATTATTTATTATTCGCATATTGTTCATTTATTGATTGAAAGGAAAAAATATTGAAAAAAGAAGAAGAAGCAGAAGCAGACGACGAAGGGCTTCTCCATATTTAGCTTTTCTTTCGTTAACGATGCCGGCGATGTTGTCGTCGTCTTTATCGGCTTGATGGAAGAATTCTATAAACATATCATCAGCTAGACTAGGTTAAGTTACAAAAGGCCCCACTCCCCCTCCCTCCCTCGTGATAATGAGATGGAGGCTAAGGAGAATGCCTTTAACTAAATTTGTTGTAAAAACAAGACAAAAGGAACATTTCAGACTTATTGAAAATAGTATTGTGTGCGAGACATCCGAGTCATTTTTTTCTTCTTCTTGTTCTTCATTTTTTTCTCCTATAGACTTTTTGTCAGCATTTCGAGCAAAACACTACTAGATCGACAAGTATGCTAATTTTTTGTGGCTGACTAACTGGCTGGCTGTTGTTGTGTTTTGGTTGTCTCGCCTTTTGTTCATTTAGATGGAGTTGATTTTTTTGGTTGTATTTTTTTTATTTCAAATTAAAATTGTGGGCTTTTTATGCGTTTTGCCCAGTTATGGCAAAAACAAAAACCGGCAACAGCACACATTTTGTCTGTACTGTGGAAGTACGTCGTCGTCATATTGTCGTAATTCTTTGCTACTCTAGGAAAACCTGACCAAAATATTAAATACTTGTAATTTGCTGCTGCATTTTGAATTTTGTTGGTATTTTAGCTACATTGGTCGAAATGTAAACAGCATTTAAAAATTAATTATTATTGTTTACATTGCCTGTAAATTATTATTTAATGGAAAATAAAATTGTTTTAATTTTTGTTTATTTTTTTCCTTGCCGAGATTAAAGAGGAACGCCGTCATTTTTATATTTTTGTGTATATGACTTAAAGAGGGAATGCAGCCATCCCGCAACCTGTTGAGGCCAAAAAAACATCTTTATGACTTTAATTAAAAATACAATAATTACACAATTTTAGGTCAAAAATTCAAGACTAAATGTTAACATCAAAATCAAGTTTTTTTAACATATTTGATTTTTGCTATAGGTACTACGAATCTGACAATTAATTAAAACAATTTGAAATGTTATTTTAAAGAAACATCGTTAAGTTTAGCCGGTCGGACTATTATACCTCAATCAAATGTGGGCTACCCTAAAAAATGGACCAATATTGATACATTTTTGTATGATGATCCAAAATATTAAACTACAGCCAATTGGATAGAAAACTAAAATTCCGAAATTTGGCTACCCTAAAAAGTGGACCAAAATTAATAATTTTTGGCAATGAGAATCCAAATCTTCTAAAAACCCAAAATTTGAAAGGTGCCCATATATGGATGCTACCCTAAAATGTTGAATTGTAATTGATTGAAAAACGTGACCAAATCCTACAAAAACGCCGGAATTTGAGAGATACGTTTATATGGTGGCAACCCTAAAAAGTGCAGCAATTTTTATAATTTTTGGTAGGAATATTTTCTATACAATGAGAACACAAATTCTAAATTACAGTTAATTTGATTGGAAAACGAGTTCAAACCTCCCAAAAGACCGAAATTGGTATTTTGGGTGGATGGATGGTAACCCTAAAAAGTGGACCAATATTTATAATTTTTAGTATGAAGATGTTCATATCCGTTGAAACTCCAAAATACAAATTGCAGCAAATTTTGTTGGAATATGTTCCGGAAATCCCAAAAATATCGAATAATGGGAGATGCCGTTATATGGGGGCTATACCAAAACATAGACCAATATATTCCATTTTCAATACCAAACATCCTGGGAGCAGTAGCAATGTATATACAAAATTACAAATCTATATCTATGATATTGCAAGCTCTATCGGGATTTCAAGATACAGACTGACCGCCACAAATCGATTACCGAAGAAATTTCGAAGTTCCAAATTTTGAGGTTATTGTATGAAATTCGATATATCTTGCATATTTGATTAATTACAACTGCACTATTTTATATCAATTTGTAGCTTATGTATTCCAAATTTAGCAATCTCATAATAATATGCCAATTACTTTGGAAGTTATGGCCTCTGGAAAGTGGTTTGATAATTATTTTTTCAAATCCAAGACATCTTTTGAAGAAATACCGGTTACATTCAGAGTTATGGAGAAAAGAAAATGGTTACCTACCAAATATTCACAATTGGAAATTTGAACCCCTTATGCCAATTTCGAATTATCTCTGTTAGTTGTTGAGATATATTTGCAAAAATTTATATGAGTTTAAAGGTAAAGCTACCCTCTTTCAGATTCCCCTAGATATTTTAAAATGTTTCCAATAAACGAATTTTTTACTTAGAAAATAATAGAGGTTGTAATCAGTCATAATTCCTACAGGGTCTTATATGCTCTGCTAGTTCATTTGATATCCAATTTTGATTCTATATCTACATTTCATTTATTTGTGCATAAATTATTTACGGAACTTACCTTAGGATTTTTCTTATAATCACATGTGACGGTCGTAAAGGAATTCTGTTTCTCACACTGGCAATGGCCATCGCAGATATTCTTACGAGGCTCGGTGACTAGATTTAAGCTGACCAAATTGGGATTTTTCTTATCGGAAGAAAAACGCTGTTGTTTTGTGTAGAATTTCTGGGGTTTGAGTAGGGTGCGTAGACCATTGGAGGCTAGATAGCCAGCGGGTGCACTATAGGGATAGGCTATGGCTCCGCCACTACCCGCTATGATGGGGTTGTTGTTGTTGTTGCTGGTCCTATTATTTTCATCTTTGAGCAGTGAATAATCGACTTGGGTCAAACGAGCTACTCGATGTAAGAGTTTATCGTTGCTGTTGTTGGTGTTAATATTAATCCCATGGCTGGTTGTTGTTGTAAAATCTTTATCACAGTTAACGGGGGGAATTGCTGTCGCCAAGATTTGTATGAGGAAAATCAAACAAAACTGGACAATGACCCACATTGTTGGTGTTGTTGTTTGTGGTGAAAATGATAATTTCTGAGGACGGATCATTTTGTTGTTTGTTTCTGTGTGTTGATTTTATGAAATAAATTTTTGAGACAGACTTTTTTTCTTTAGATATCTTTGGTAAATAAATTTAATTTATTTTTTTTTTTTTGTTGGAACTAAGGCTCACTTCACTTCAACAATTTTTTATAATTGCATTGTTATTTTTTTAATTTTAATCATGCTATTTCCTTCAAAAATTATGGTTTTTAATTTTTTTTGGTAATTATTTTTTGTGAACCACTAATTTTTGCCAATTAACATATCGAACATATGGCATAACCGCAACCACGTAACTCCATTTATTCCGATTCCGTTAACGATTTACTTTATTTGAACTTTCACTTTACTTTTCAACCATAAAAAAAAATAATTATTTTTTCTTAAATATTTTTTTTCTTTGTTAGTTTTCAAATTTTCTTATAGAACAACAACATTTTCATCATCATCGTGATTATATTTTAGCAAACGCACATTCAAAGCACTCACTAGCCGCTGCCAGCCCGCACACTGTTGTCGATTTATATATTTTCTTATTATTTTGCTTTCATTTGCCATTCATTCATTTTTTCTTATTTAATTTTTTAAACACAAAAAATCCAGACACTCCACGATACGATCGCCTTCGTCGTTAAATGAATACTAAATTGTATCTCTGCTCAATTGGTGTATCTGCTAGATAGCTGTTATTCTCATTGATATTTTCGTTATGGTTGTTTTCGATCGGCTCTCTCCCTCTGTCTGTGCTTATCACTTTCTCTTTTCACTCATGAAATCTCCGTAACAGATATTGGGTGGGTTGCATGCATGCAAGCAGGCAAAGGAAGAGAGAGAGAGTCACGGTGTTTTGCAGGTTGTTTTTCAAATCAAAACAACAAGCAACAGATACTTCCTCTCGCTCTCATAGATACAACACACACACACAGTCTATCGCTCTCTCTCTCCGTATTACATTTGTAAAGTTTCCCGTTAATATTTTACAAAAAACAACTTCAGAGAGAGAGAGACTGAGTGCATAATAATAATTATTATTATTTGGTATGCGTCAGTGTGTGTGTGTCCGTTCAACTGGTAGAAAAATAATAACAAAACTTGTAGATTGTTGTTATTGTTATGTTGTTGTTCGTCGTTATCCAGTTGGAAAATAGAGTTTCCATATGTTTATGTGTGTAGGTATGTATGAATGTTATTTTCTGTGCTACGATTAAAAACCCGTAAACAATTATTCTTAGGTAGTTGACTAATTCTTTGCCAATTTGACTTGAGATGTTGTTGTTTTTACAAAAAGTGCGTTGTTTGTTTTCGTAAAAGGTAATAGCGGAAATTTTTGAAAACAAGACTGATTTTGTTTTCGCGTTTTGAAGAAATCTCAACAAAAATATTAGAAATTTACCTAAATGAGATTTTAGAAAAAAACTTGGGGTTTTCTGAAATTCAACGATGAATTGTAAACAAAGTTTTCGTGAATGTTAATCATCAATTTTTAATTTTTTTAGAAAATATCGGAACGTAGGTTTTGTTATGAATATAATATTGTATTTTAAATGGATATTTTAGTTTTAATGGAATATTTGTTGAAGTAGGAATTCAAGGAATTTTTAAGTATGATTTTATTTATATAAAATTTTAAGAAATTTTGCAGATTGTATAAAAATATTTTTTCCGTACGAATTCGTATTATTTGTTCAATGTGGGTAGATCTTTCAGATTTTTTTAAGAAACTATTCAAAAATTTACCTATTTTTTCAAAATATCATGTATTTTTTAGAATACAGTAGTTTTGACTTACCGGCACAAACAACACTTGCAATCATTTCTGTGCGGGAAAGTTAAAAGAGCAGCTATCATAAATTTCTTACCTGCCTAAAAGTGCACGTAAGTGAAATCACTGCATACAAGTGGGACAATATTAAATTTTTATGGAATACGCGATCACCTCTAAGTGTTTAATAATGAATCAGAAGGACTATTGTTTTTAAAGAATATAGTTATTGCGTTGAAAACAATAGTCCCTGAGTTTTTTATAGTTTTTATACCATCCACCATAGTATGGAAGGTATATTAATTTTGTCATTCCGGTTGTAACTCATCGAAATAATCATTTCCGACCCTATAAAGTATATATATTCTTGATTAAATTCTAAGACGATCTAAGCATGTCCGTCTGTTGTAATCCCTCTAGCGTCTAAAAGAATTGAGTTAGATCGCCAAAAGAGTCGTCTTTTGTCTGCAGGCAGATCCAGTTCGATGATGGGCTATATCGGTCCACGTTTAGGCATAGCTCCCATATAAGGGTACCCCCAATTTTCGGTATTTTGAGGTTCTTGATCGCATTTTTCGACCGAATTCGCTGAAATTCGGTACTTTGAGTTCTTATTGGGTAGCAAATCTCTATACTAAAAATTATAAATATAGGTCAATTTTTTCGGGTAGCCCCCATAAAAGGGTACTCCCCAATTTTCGGTATTTTTGGGTTCTTGAGCGCGGTTTTCAACCGAATTCGCTGAAATTTGGTACATGGGGTTCTTATTGGGTACCAAATTTCCCTACACAAAATTATAAATATAGGTCCACTTTTTCTGGTAGCCCCCATATAAGGGTACCTCCCAATTTCCTGTTTTTGGGGGTTTTTGACCGGGGTTTTTCACCGAATTGGCTGTAATTTAGTAATTTGAGATATTATTGGATAGCAAATCTCTCCACAAAAAATTATAAATATAGGTAAATTTTTTCGGGTAGCCCCCATATAAGGGTACCCCAGATTTTCGATATTTTGAGGTTCTTCAGCGCATTTTTCAACCGAATTCGCTGAAATTTGGTATTTTGTAGTCGTATATGGTAAAAAATCTCCCCACCAAAAAATATTAATATTCACCCCTTTTTAGGAGTAGTCTCCATATAACCTCTTTTTTATATTAAAATAGTTATCTGAGTTATTCCGTGTGTTGTGATTGGGTTGTCGTTACGGGGAATAGTCAATTTTTATCCTACAAAGACTATTTAGCCATCTGTTGTAAGCATTCCGCCTTCTAAAGATATTGTGATAAAAATACTCAAACATGACGATAATGAAATATATCGGTAGACATTTAGGCATCTCCTCAATATAGTGATACCTCCTGAAGGAATGAATTGAGATAAACATTTAAAATATTGGGTTCAAAATTGGCATATACCGGTAATTAATTAGGCATAGCCCTCATATAATGATATCCCCAAATATACACTATTTCCTACACTATATAATCAATATTGGTCCCCCTTTAAGCATAGCCTCATATAACTTTGTAATCTAAATTACAGTAGTTTGAGGATTTTATACTCTACCATGCGTTATCAGTATCAGTCCACTTTTTCGATCTAACAAATTTTAGGAAAAATCCCCATTAAAAATTGCTGAAGTTTGTATTTGGTGTACATAATGGTTTACATATATCGGTTTGTAGAATTATCGGTATATGCCCACTTTTTGGTATGTTCCCTATATTTTCATTACATGTATTTGTCAGTATAACTATGGTGGAGGGTATCCAAAGTTCAGCCCGGCCGAACTTAACGCTTTTCACTTGTTTATATTAAAATAGTTAACTGATTTGTTCCGGTTTTTGGGGTTACCTCCATAAGCCCATAATATGGGGGATATGCTTTACTCGAAATTTTCCGTTTATACCCTACATAGTATGGAATTGTAAGA